CCGGGGACTAAGCCAGCCCCGCGTACCCGCTGAGAGTGTCCACAGGCAGGCAGGAGCTCCGGCCTCGGGAGACACAGGAGGGCAGGGCAGCCATCACTGAGAGGCGGGACGATGGCCGCAAGCCAGGGGACGGCCTCCAGAAAGGCCAGATACCCACGCTGGCCGTTCCTCAGATGGGCAAACCCGCGGTTCCCAGACTGCTCAGGAGCTCTGCTCCCGGGAACCACCCAGGAGAAATGAGACCGCATGTCCACATAAACCCTCGCTCACGTCTACTCTGACCAGCAGTGTTCACAACAGCCAAACAACGGGAACGCTCCGATGTCCATCCGCAGCTAAATGGATAAGTAAAATACAGTCTACCCACACAACAGAACATCGCTCAGCAGTGGAAACAGGGACCACACATGCTGTGACTCCTTTATGGGAAATGTCTGGAACGGACAGCGCCTCAGGTAGGGGGAATGTGGAGAGGCCGAGACAGAGCAGTAAAGCCCACAGGGTTTCTTCTGGGGTAACAGAAATGTTGTGAGACTGACAATGACAGTGAGTACTCCTCTGTGAATACCCTAAATGCTGTTGGATTGTATTCTATAAACAGGTGCAGTCTGGGGCTGGCGCTGTGGCATGGCGGGTAAAGCTGCCACCTGCAGTGCCAGCATCCCACATGGGCACTGGTTCAAGTCCCGGCTGCTCCACTTCTGATCCAGCTCTCTGCTGTGGCCTGGGAAAGCAGTGGAAGACGGCCCAAGTGCTTGGGCCCCTGCACCCACGTGGGAGACCTGGAAGAAGCTCCTGGCTTCAGATCGGTGTAGTTCCAGCCGCTGCAGCCATTTGGGGAGTGAACCAGAGGATGGAAACCTCTCCCTCTCTCTCTCTCAGAGGATGGAAACCTCTCTCTCTCTCTCTCTCTCTCTCTTTCCCTCTCTGTGCCTCTGCCTCTGCCTCTCTGTAACTGCCTCTCAAATAAATACAGGGGGGAGGAATCTGTTTCAACAAAGCTGGTTGGTTGGTTGGTTGGTTGAATGCCTGGGGACTGCCATCTGAATTCACAACTGAGGGCTAGGCCAGGATGGAAAAGTCTAGAACAAGTCGCCCACACCACTTATGTCCCCTGCCCAGTAAAAATCCAAAGTAGTAGCCCACTGCAGCACCCGGAACGAGGGCAGGCTAGAGAATGAGGCGGCAGCTGACACTGTCACAGCCCCACCCCACCCCACCCCCGCGATATGGGGGAGGAACACACCTCCATCCCACCGTACTGCCTCGACCATTTCTCCTGGCCCCTCTCGCTCGCTCACTCTCTCACCGTACTTAATAAAAATACACATGAAAAGAAAACCCAAATCCATGTTGCTAAGGAATACCGTCTGACAAGGGAATGACCGGGCTATGTTTTAGGTGTGGGGTGGGGGGCAGGTTACCCTGTACAATGAATGCACAAGACAGTAAGACTCTGGAAAAGATCCACACGGAAGTCATCGCGCTACGGGCACGCATGAGGAGCATCCTGGCACCTGGCCCTCTGCGGGCGCCCACATCCTAGGAGGGGTTACCCCGGGCAGGACTGGAGCTCACCTGCTCCCACAGCGCAGGTGCACCTGCGCTGCCCGGGCTGCGACCCCCGGGCCGGGATCTCCAGGAACACCCCCGCGGGGCGATCAGACGCCCGGACCCCGGCCTGGCGCTCGCCCCCGGCTCCCGGCTGCCGAGCCGACACCCCGACGGGTCCCCTCCCTCGGCTTCGGGACCCATCGGCTTCTGCACGAACAGCCTGAGCGCCGAGCTCACGGCCGCGCTACTGGGGCAGCAGTGCCAGTCGCGCCGGCGCAAACCGCAGAAGCTCTTCCAGAGGAAGCTGCGAGCGTCGCCTCCAGTCGGGACGGCGGCCGCCCGCGGACCCCCGACGCCACCCGCGCCGCGCCCCCGGCCCGCGCCGAGCCGCGCAGACCCCACCACAGAGCCCCGCCCGCGCGGCCCTCACCGAACTGCATCCAGTCCCACTCGTTGAGCGTGTCCATGTTGCGGCACAGGTCGTCCAGCACCCAGGCGGGCAGCTGGTGGATGTAGCAGGGCATGGCAGCGGCCGCGACGGAGCGCAGCGAGCGACTGCCGGCCCGGCGAGGCCAGCGCGGAGCCTCGTCGGCGTGGGGGCGGGGCCAGGGCCCAGGGGGCGGGGCCGGACGAGCCTGAGCCAGTAAGAGCGGGCCCTGGGCGGGCCAGAGAGGAGCGGGCCCGGGCGTGGGCGGGACTGGACGGAGCCGGAGCCAGTGAGGGGCCAGAGAGGGGCGGGGCCGGGAGTGGGCGGGACTGGACGGAGCCGGAGCCAGTGAGGGGCCGGAGAGGGGCGAGGCCGGGCGTGGGCGGGTCCGAGTGGGGGCCACTACCGCCCCCCAGCGGCCAGGCTTCCTACTCCACTCTGAGCCCCTGTCCACCCTCGCGTCCAGGGCTATCCTCACAAACACTATGGGTCACCAACCGCAGGCCACATTGTAGAACTTGGGAACCGGCAGGGCAGAGGGGACCAACAAGGTCCGCACTGAACAAGCTCACAATGTGTGGGACAGTGGTAAGTATGGGCGGGCTTGTGGCGTGGAGGGACGTGTGTCCACGGGTTCGAGTCCTGGCTCCGCCTCTGACCCAGCAGCCCGCTGATGTACACCCGGGAGGCGCGCGTGTGATGGTCAAGGCCTCGGGTCCCTGCCCCCACGAGGAGGCTCCTGGCTTCTGCCTGTCCGGTCCTGGCTATTGCAGGTGTTTGGGAGTGAACAAGCCTTTCAAACAGGGAAATAAAAATTTAAAGAAAAACAAAGCTGCTATAGACGCCCAGCCCGACCTCCAGGGATCTAAACTGGGTCCCTCCGGGACAGGACTCCCACATTAGCTTTTTTTTTTTTTTTGACAGGCAGAGTGGACAGTGAGAGAGAGAGACAGAGAGAAAGGTCCTCCTTTGCCGTTGGTTCACCCTCCAATGGCCGCCGTGGCTGGCGCACCGCGCTGATCCGATGGCAGGAGCCAGGAGCCAGGTGCTTATCCTGGTCTCCCATGGGGTGCAGGGCCCAAGCACCTGGGCCATCCTCCACTGCACTCCCTGGCCACAGCAGAGAGCTGGCCTGGAAGAGGGGCAACCGGGACAGAATCCGGCGCCCTGACCGGGACTAGAACCCGGTGTGCCAGCGCCGCAAGATGGAGGATTAGCCTAGTGAGTCGTGGCGCTGGCCATAAATAAAATATAAAAAATAAATAAAAAAACCCTAGGGACCAGTGCTGTGGCACAGCGAGCTAACACCCTGGCCTGAAGCGTCCGCATCCCATATGGGTGCCGGTTCTAGTCCTTGCTCCTCCTCTTCTGATCCAGCTCTCTGCTATGGCCTGGGAAAGCAGAAGACGGCGCAAGTGCTTGGGACCCTGCACCCTACGTGGGAGACCCGGAGGAAGCTCCTGGCTCCTGGATCAGTGCAGCTCCGGCCGTTGTGGCCAATTTGGGGGTGAACCTGCAGATGGAAGACCTCTCTCTCTCTCTCTCTACCTCTCTCTGTGTAACTCTGACTTTCAAATAAATAAATAAATCTTTTAAAATTTTTTTTTTAAATTAAAAAAATTCTATAAAACTTTTAGACATAAAATCTTTGAAAACACTTTTCTGTGATTTTTAGTTAATAAGAAACAGCTTTTCATATTAACAAACAAGGCTTCTACTTTTTCTTTTCAATGCCATATTTAATTTAGGAGCACCATACTTTATTTGGCCAAACGCCTGTCAATGTACTCTTTTCAGTAAAATGCTGTTCTTTTATTTTATTTATTTGAGAGTGAGAGACAGATCTTCCATCTGCTGGTTCACTCCCCAGATGGCTGCCATGGACAGAGCTGGGCCAATCCGAAGCCGGAAGCTTCTTTCGGGTCTCCCACGTGGGTGCAGGGAACAAGGACATGGGCCATCTTCCTGCTTTCCCAGGCTGGAGAGCTGGAGCGGAAGTGGAGACAGGACCCAAACCGGAGCACCACAGGCCGAGGCTAGCTCCTTGAGCCACAGCACCGGCTCGATCACGCCGTTCTAAATCATGCTGCAGTAACCCTCCATGCGTAGACATCTCTTCACGCTTGTCTCTTCTTTCCTAAATTAAGTTCCTAAAACTAGATTTTTTCTGGAACAAAGTTAAGTCCACCTGCAATTGTGATGGACCTTAACAGGGTGCCCTCTAGAAAAATCCTGTCTGTGGACGCCCCCGGGGAAGCCAGCCAGGCCAGGCTGCCCTTGGCTGCTGTTCCCATCTCACATACAGGCCTAGACACCCTCCTCATTCTCAGAGACGCTTGCAGGCCACTATGCAGACGGCTTTTTCATCCAGGGCTCGTACGGCACCTTGGTGCCCAAAGGCCAACCCAAAACTCAGGAAGACTGGACGGTGTGTGGCCAGAGTGGACAAAAGATGGAGGCTTGGAACGCAAGAAACAGTTCTGTAGGTTTCTCTCCCTCCTCTCTCCTGCTACTGCCCCTCCATCTGAGGACCGTCACAAATCTGCCTTCTCTGTGACCTGCCACTGGACTCCTGGGTGCGTCTTAGGGGCAGGAGGGTGTCTGGTTCAGTCAGGAAAGGGGAAAAAGGGGGGGACATTCGGGCAGCCCAGTGACGCAGGAGCAGCAGCACCGGGCGCTCAGAGAGGGCGAATGGACCCGAGAAGCTCAGCGGTGCTCACGTGCCAAGAGCAAAACCCAGACGTCTCCCCACCTCTGCAGGGGCGCGACTCCCAGCCCAGGCCCCGCCCGGGAGTCTCTGTAACCGCGGCTGACACACTCCTACTTAACCTTCGCTGGTGCTGTTTTCACGGGACAAAGAACATCTTACAAAGCCAGAGGAAGCAATGGTAAACAATCTAGTGTAAATGGTAAACAATCTAGTGTCGACTGGACTCGGACTGAGGCGGGCTGCTCGTGTCTGTGACCCCTCCCCACCCTAGAGGAAGCCCTCCTTGGTTAAAATAACACCACACACCCATTCTCTTTTTAGCACCATTTAATGTATTAAAGAACAGCTTTTTAAAAAAAATGTGAAGTAGGAAAAACGAGTGTCTTAAGGGCGATGCACTGAATGCACTCACAAAATTCAAGCGAAAGGTGGACCCTGTCCCTGTTCCAGGCCTTCAGAATTCCTTGACCCCACGGCCACACACACAAACGTGAAATCTCATTTCGACACAAAGATAGGGTAAGAAAAAAGCAGTGCTGCACTACTCCAGGGCCAGCAGATCCTTAAGCCCTGAGCCCATCCCCCAGAGCTCACACAGCTGCCCGGAACACCCACAAAACCCAACACTAAGCTGCGTCACTGAGCGCCACCACAACATGCTGAAACAAAACCAAACCCAACTTACTTCACGGTGAAGGAAGACAGCAGGGGAGCGAAAGGCCAGCCAGGAGACAGCCGCCTCTGCTCCCGGCCCACCCCTGACTCCACAGCCCAGAGGCACGTGCACACCAGGAAACACCCCAAACTTCCCTCACAAAAGGAAGTCTGTGCTACTGGTGCAGGGGGAAACCCGAGGGATAAAGTCAAAGGAAGAAGGATATAATAAAACCAGACCGAGTGTGAATTCAACTGAGTAAAAAACTAAAGTATGTCCCGGAAAAGGCTGAAATGGTTCCCAGTGTTAGTTTTCTGCTTAACTAATATTTGAATAGCACACCTACAGTGATCCTTCTGCTCTTTTCCAACTTCTTCTCTACTGAGGGACTTCTAAAAAAATCTATTCATTAGAAAGATCTACATCTGCTAGAAGTATTCAATTTGATTTACTAAGTTTAAGTGCAGTCCCTAAGGCAGGATACGGACATTTACAAAACCAGGAAGCATTACCAGGAGACTCCACCGCTAGGAGGAAGCTGCCCAGGGCCGGTGCACCTTGGCCTCTCCTCCACCCAGGGGAAAATGTCAACCAGACCCTGCTGATGAAAAATGCTGAACCAAACAGGAACAACACGGCCTTATGAAAAGGAACAGAGACACCGGCATTCGGCAAAGACTTATTTACAGACCAGCGAGTCCTGGGCTCCAGAACCAATGTACAAACCTCTCTTCCCATTTTCTGTGCACAAGGCACGTGAGGAGGAGGCAGAAATCCAACTACTTTCTCCTGGTAGTTCTAGAAGGGTGGGCATCTAAATACCACAGTGCCCAGCCTCCAAGCTCTGCGGACCACTCCCTCTCAAGGAGGGCTGGGGCCCAGCAGGCCCTAACTAGTTCCACGGCTCCACTTGGTGGACCTGGGAGAAGAACACCCAGGGCCTAGGCCAGTGCCTGGGAGACCACCCAGGGCCTAGGGCAGTGCCTGGGAGACCACCCAGGGCCTAGGGCAGTGCCTGGGAGACCACCCAGGGTCTAGGGCAGTGCCTGGGAGACCACCCAGGGCCTAGGGCAGTGCCTGGGAGACCACCCAGGGCCTAGGGCAGTGCCTGGGAGACCACCCAGGGCCTAGGGCAGTGCCTAGGAGACCACCCAGGGCCTAGGGCAGTGCCTAGGAGACCACCCAGGGCCTAGGGCAGTGCCTGGGAGACCACCCAGGGCCTAGGGCAGTGCCTGGGAGACCACCCAGGGCCTTGGGCAGCTGATTTCAGCTGTGGTTTTCAGTCTCCTCTTCCAACTGCTGATTTTCAAAGTGCTCCTGCGTCAGCCGCGCCAGGTCTTTCTGCACGTTCGGGTGGTCCTCCAGATCTTCGTAGAGTGACCGGACGATGTCCAGCCTCCTGTAGTTCTCTGGCTTGACCAGGCTTCGGATAACCTGGAGGCATCGTTCTTTGAGCGTGTACACTGGAAGGCAGAACACAAACCCTCAGAGCAGAAAGGACAGAGTAGCAGGCTCTCCCACGCACCCACGGCGGCTGCACGCACTCTGCACGGATCTCACTTCTGTCAAAACAACGCGAGCCAGCCAGCACACAGAGGGCACCCCGGGGCCGCCTCACAGCACCCATGCCCTGTGCAGTGACTTCCCCTCAAAACAGGCTGGGCCTGTGATGTGTGGGAAGCGAACGCGGATGCAGTGACACTGGCACTCGGGGTCCAGGCCCTGACACTCCTGGAGTCCCAGAGGTAGCCCGCCGGAGAAACCACGCTAGGAAGGGCAGGCCTTGGGCCTGGAAGAGAGGCTGCTGCCCGCCGCCTACCAGGAGGCAGCTCCACCAGTGACTGAGCGCAGGCCGGCTGCATCTTCACAAATACATACAACACCTGCTGTTCTGCAGTGGTCGTCACACAACCAAAACGCTGCAACTGCATCTGCAGCAGCTCAATACTAGGCCCACTGGCAAATTTTATTACCATAAGGGTATCCTGCAAGGCAACACTTAGACTTAAATTACCGATGCTCAACTCTTTAAAGCAGGATTCTAAACACATATGATTCATTTGAACTCAAGGTAAGGCATTTGCTCTCTTAGTCCTAAGAACACCAGTTTCTTAGAGTCTAACCTAATAAAGTCATTTGAGTTTTGAACAAACAGCAAACTATGATGTTAATCTTTTTTTTTTTTTTTTGTAAGATTTCTTTCTTTATTTGAAAGGCAGAGTTACAGAGACAGGAGACAGAGACCTTCACTTCCTAAATGGCCACAATGGCTCGGGCTGGACAGGCCGAAGCCAGGAGCCAGGACCTCCCTCCAGGTCTCCCACACGGGCGGCAGAAACCCAGACACATTGGCAGGGAGCTGGACTGGAAGCAGAGCAGCTGGGACTTGACCAGTGCATGTACGGGACGCCAGTGGTGCAGGCAGCAGCTTAAACCAGGGCCCCACGACGCTGGCCCCTGATGTCAACATTCAGTTTGGAGGTTTCTGGGAACCCTACACGGCGAGCTTGTCTGGATCACATTGTACAAACACTATCAGAGGTCAACAACAGATAAGCCTTGATATCTGATTCTCCATCTCTCGTTCTTCAGGGACCCCGCTGCGTAATTCTACCGGAAAGCCAGGGAAACAAAAGGTGTTCACAATTCTACCCGGACTACTTTAACTTAGCCCATCCCTTCCAGGCCACAGAGACCCCTTTGTGAGACATCTCTGATCAACAGGGAACATACAAAAATATTCCATTTTATTTACAGTGGAGAACAGGACACACAGAGATTGGATACCCTGAGTAGCATCAGGCAAAAATAAGCAAACAAGATTCTGCTGGTTCAGGTGGGTCTTCTACATATTCACAACAAGCAACCTCATCTTTTCAAAAGACTGAATTGAGGACCAGTGTGCGGGGCAGTGGCGAGGCCACTGTGATGCTGGCCTCCATATCAGTGTCAGCTGGAGCCTGGCTACGCGGCTTCTGAGCCAGCTTCCTGCCAGCGCACCTGGGAGGCAGCAAAAGGGGCCCCGCTCCTTGGGCCCCTGACACCCACGCGGGGGCCCCTGACGGAGCTCCTGGCTTCAGCCTGCCCAGGCCCAGCTGCTGCCACCATGTGGGGAGTGAACCAGTGCATGCCAGATATGGCTCGCTCTCTCCTCTCTCTCCCTCCTTCCCCATCTCTACCACTTTCTGTCACTCTGCCTCTCAAATAAATATTTTTATTTTATTTTTTTAAAGATTTATTTATTTGAGAGGCAGAATTGCAGAGAAAGGGAGAGACACAGACAGAGGTCTTCCGTCCACTGGTTCACTCCCCAGATGGTCTCAACGGCTGGAGCTGGGCTGATCCAAACCCAGGAGCCAGGAGCTTCTTCTGGGTCTCTCATGTGGGTGCGGGGGCCCAAACACTCGGGCCATCTTTTACGGCTTTCCCAGGTTGCATCAACAGGACCTGGATTGGAAGTGGAGTAGCTGGGACTTGAACCAGCACCCATATGGGATGCTGGCGCCTCAGCCGGAGGCTAACCTACTACGCCACAGTGCCAGCCCATCAAATAAATACAACTTCAAAAAAAAAAAAAATTTGAACAGTAGTACCTGGCAGTGTGATGTTGGCAAAAATAGGCTGCCCATCAACATTGAGAGATGGCACAAACAACTCCGTTTGGTTAACCAGAAGCCCATCGTGTGTCCCTGCATCTCTGAAGAGCCACAGGTGACCTGGGGAGACAAGCAGAGGCGTTAGGGAGCCACGCGACCGGTCTTCTCCACCTCCCCGGCCAACAGGAAAAGCTTACCTCTCACTCTGCTTTAAAAATCACACAAAGCCCTTCCGGTAAAATGAGCTCACTGAGTCCACACAAAAAGATCTATTTGCAGATGAGAAAACCGGTCTGCAGAGGCACGAGCAGGCTCGAGGCAGAGCAGACAGGAAGCGTGTCCCTGAGACTCCAAATGTGGCGCAGCGTGGAAAAGCCAAGCCCAGCAGGGTCCAGGGTGCCGACCACACGGACACCACAGACCACAGGAGAGGAGGCCACGCACACCTGCAGCTGTGCCTCTCAAAACCAACCAGCAAGCGCCGGGAGGGCGCTGTGGCGCAGCCAGTAAAGCCGCCGCCCGTGACACAAGCATCCCACAGGCACCAGTTCAAGTCCCGGCTGCTCCACTTCCGATCCAGCTCTCTGCTGTGGCCTGGGAAAGCAGCAGAGGATGGCCCAAGTGCTTGGGCCCCTGCACCGGCCCGGAAGACCCAGAAGGGGCTCCTGGCTTTGGCTCAGCCCAGCTCCAGTCGTTGCGGCCATCTGGGGAGTGAACCAGCAGATGGAAGACCTCTAACTCTACCCCTCTGTAGCTCTTTGGAATACATACATCAGCACCCCCCCAAACAAAAAAAAAAAAAAAAGGAGGTAAAACAAATAAACAAGAACAACAAAACACCAGCAAGGAGGCACCAGAGTGTGTTGTTGACAAAAGAAAAAGCAAACTGAAAAAGGTACATTCTGTAGAAACAAACAAAACTGATCTGTTACAAAAAAAATCCTAAGGGTGACCAGGTCTGCAGGGGAGGGGAGTGAGGGCTCAGGGGCAGGGGGAACCTTTGTGCCAGCACTCACTCCAGGATGTGTGCATTTCACTGTGTGTAAAAACTCCTGAATTTAAGAGCAAATACAGGGGCCCCGCTGCGGCTGTGGTGCAGTGGGTTAACACCCTGGCCTGAAGCGCCGGCATCCCATATGGGCGCTGGTTCCAGTCCCGGCTGCTCCACTTCCAGTCCAGCTCTCCGCTGTGGCCTGGGGAAGCAGCAGAGGATGGCCCAAGTCCTTGGGCCCCTGCACCCTCGTGGGAGAACTGGAAAAAGCTCCTGGCTTCGGATCAGTGCAGCTCCGGCCGTTGTGGCCATCTGGGAAGAGAACCATCAGATGGACGACCTCTCTCTCTGTCTCTACCTCTCCCTGTAACTCTTTTTCAAATAATTAAAATAAATATTTATTTAAAAAAATATGTCACTTGCAAAAAGGAGGCCGTGGGACGAGGAGGCGAGCCGGCCGGACCCAAGACCGCACTGAAGGAGGCGGCATTCCTCCCGGGTGCACCCCCGCCCCAGACCGGGCACGAGTGTCAGCGAACCTGGAAGACGACGCATCGACCGTGCCGGCCGCTTAAGTGCTCCCTGCAGCCGCACTGTGTTCGCACGGTTCATAATTAAAAAAAAAAATTACAAAGAGGCACAAATAAACCTTGGAGCAGAATAAAAAAAATTCACACAGTTTCATCTATAGAGAAAGGAGACTACGGAAACGCTGGTTCCTGGAAGGGCTGCTGGCCCGCACGCACCCGCATCGCGCCCCGGCCCGGCGCCCGCCACCGACCCGCGCCCGGCTGCCCCGCACGCACCCGCATCGCGCCCCGCGGGCGGCCCCGGCTGAGTCCACCTGGTCCGGCCCGGCGCCCGCTGCGCCGCCACCCCCGCCCGGGGTTCACCAGCCCCGCACGCACCCGCATCGCGCCCCGGCCCGGCGCCGCCCCCAGACCCCCGCAACACTGCTCTCGGGGTGAACGCCCGGGGAGGGCGTGCTCGTCCGAGTGCGGGGCTGCTCGGCGGCAGGCCCGTCCCGCGCAGCACCTCGGTAGCTGTGGATGCGGCGGCCCGTGCCCGGCGGCAGCGTGGGGTAGGGCTGCGGCTCTCCGTGGAAGTTGAGCCACACGGGCAGCGCGACGCGCGGGCTGCGGTTGCAGAAGATGACCTGGGACGGCTCGCGCGTGTTCACCGAGCGCAGCACGGGCAGCGGCCGCTCGGCCGCCATCCCCGCACTGGCGAGCGCCGCCTTCTCCGCGCCGGGTCTCGGCCTCTTCCGGGGAATCGCGTCTCGCACGGACAGCCCGGGCCTGGGCGCGCCGGGGCTCGCAGACCCGCCGCGGGGAGGGAGGCGCGCGTGTACGCATGCGCGCGCGCTCCCGGGCAGGCCGGCGCGCTCGGTGGGGGGACCGGGGAGGCAACGCTTGAAGCGTGCGCGTGCGCAGATGCACCCTCAGGCCGCCGGCTGAGCCCGGAAGCGGAAGCGGAAGCGGGGCGCCCATGCTTCCGCTAGTACATTTTTCCTTTTCCCCTGACTCGTCTGGGCGCACCCACTTACCGGTGCCTCGTAACGTCCCTGTAGGGCACACCCAGCTCCTCCTTCGTCATCTTCGTGGCGTTGCGCGTTTTGGGCGCTCTCCTCAGCCGCTCAAGGCCTGGCTGCTGTCCGCCGTGTTTACCTTCCGCGCTCTTACTCAAGTTCTTTCCCGCTTGGGTCACGAGGGAGCAGAGACCTCCTTGCCTGCCCGGCCACCGCGTCACCGGGCCCCGCCACCAGGTTCTGTGCAATGCCTTCGAGCTGTTCACGCGTATGGACGCGGCCGAACAAATTGGGAGGGCCGCTCCGGCCAGGCAGGCAGCCAGGAGCCATCTCCCCCGTCAGGTGTTGATGCCAGGCGAGGCCGGGCGTCCTCTTCGCAAATGGCGTCCCAGATCTAGGCGTCCGTAAAGCTGCCTGCCTCAGTCCCCTTTGGGTTTTCCTCTTTTGGAAGCCTCCCTCCACGCCACTCTGGCTGGAGGTCCGTGATTCTAATAAATACTTTGAAATCTCAAAAAATATATATGGCATTTTAGTGTATCTTCCTTTAAAAGCAGAGACAGAGATGTTCCACCTGCTGGTTCACTGTCCAGAGGACTAAGGCCGGGGGCTGGCCATGCAGAGGCCAGGAGCCAGGACTCGAGCCAGGCCTTCCACGTGGCCCCAGAAGCTGGGATGGGACCCAGAGCTGGGATCTGGGTAGCCCAACCTGCCGCTCCCCCTATTTTAATACTTATCTTGCGAGATTTAGGAAGAGGGCTTGCATCTGCTGGTTCACCCCCTAGAAAGCCACAGCAGCCATGGCTGGACAGGCCAAGGTCAGGAGCCCAGAGCTTCATGCCGCCATGCACAACTCTGGACCCCTGTGCCATGTGTGAATGCTGCGTCCAACACCTGCTTTATCCAGACCAGTGTTTAATGCTGAAAAATACTTCTGTACTTCTCTCGACATGTGATCTGTATGTAGTGACATTGCTTTTACAACAGCAAAAATACCCAAAATAAGAAAAACAACTTGATTTCTGCACACTTATTTATTTATTTGAAAGGCAGAGTTAGGCAGAGGCAGAGAGAGAGGTCTTCCATCCACTGGTTCACGCCCCAAATGGCCACAATGGCCAGAGCTGTGCTGATCCCAAGCCAGGAGCTTCTTCCAGGTCTCCCACGCGGGTGCAGGGGTCCAAGCACTTGGGCCGTCTTGCACTGCTTTCCCAGGCCACAGCAGAGAGCTGGGTCAGGAGCGAAGCAGTGGGACTCAAACCGTTGCCCATACAGGATGCTGGCACGGCGGCGGCAGTTTTACCTGCTGTACCACGGCACTGGCCCGACTGTTTTGACATATGCTATCATTCCAACTAAATAAAGGTAACGTGCATTGCTCCTGTGTGTGTTTTCTCCCAATGTCACTCTCGTGTTTTTGGGTGCTGAGAACGTGACAGTGCGTGATGACCGTGCTGTAAGATCTGCGAGGACACGAACTCCTCCTCCTTTCCCAACGCCAGTGCCTGATGCTTAGAAGATGCGCAAAGTGCTTACTGCTAACAACTTTTTAGACAGAGGTTCGTCAAGGGCAGACCGAAGGAAGCGGCACTTGTTAAACGGGAACATTGTGCTTTTTAAGGCACACGAATGGGTGTTGGCTGCAGTGAGTAACAAGCTGCTTAGGCGCCTGCACGCATATGGGAGTGCCTGCCCTTCACCTTCCAGTCCAGCGTTCTGCTGATGGGCGCCCTGGCGGACAGCAGATGGTGCAAGTTCTTGGGTCCCTGCCACTCAGCGGGAGTCCTCGGCTCCTGGCTGCAGCCTGGCCTGGCCCCAGCTGTTGAGGGCATTTGGGGAGACTGGACGATCCGTATCTTTGTTTCTCTCCCTCTCTAGTAAAATGAAAACGTTTTTAAAAATTACATGAAGAGGCCGGCGCCGTGGCTCACTAGGCTAATCCTCCACTGTGGCGCTGGCACCCCGGGTTCTAGTCCCAGTCGGGACGCTGAATTCTGTCCTGGTTGCCCCTCTTCCAGGCCAGCTCTCTGCTGTGGCCCGGGAGGGCAGTGGAGGATGGCCCGAGTGCTTGGGCCCTGCACCCCATGGGAGACCAGGAAAAGCACCTGGCTCCTGCCATCGGATCAGGGCGGTGCGCCGGCCGCAGTGTGCCGGCCACAGCGGCCATTGGAGGGTGAACCAACGGCAAAAAGGAAGACCTTTCTCTCTGTGTCTCTCTCTCACTGTCCACTCTGCCAGTCAAAAAAAAAAAAAATTACATGAAGAAAACCTGCTACAGCTCATAATATACTTGTTGTCCATGTTTAATTTTTTTCATGATTTTTTATTTTTTTTAATATTTATTTATTTGAAAGAGTTACAAAGAGGAGAGGCAGAGAGAGAGAGAGAGAAATAGAGAAAGAGAGATAGATCTTTCATCCAATTGTTCACTCCCCAGATGGCCGCAACTGTGCCAATCAAACATTCCACGCAGAGTAGAGAACTGCCCAGGCAGCAGCTTCTGCGAGGTACACAGCCGTTCACACGCCCTGCACAGCGGCCACAGATCCCAGTCACAGGATCTTCCAGCTCATCCGTGCCTGCCTATTTATTTATTTATTTATTTGAAAGGCAGAGTTACAGAGAGGCAGAGAGAGAGAGAAAGCCTTCCAGCTGCTGGTTCACTCCTCAAAAGGCTGCAATGGCCGAAGCTGGGCTGATTCAGAACCAGGAGCCAGGAACCACCGCTAAGCTCTCCACAGAGGAGGAGCGGTTACCCGTCACAGAAACAGGTTTCAATGTCTCCCTCCTCAGAGCCTACTTCTTTGGGGCCTGTACTGTACAGCAGTGAGTTAGGCTGTCATCTGCAATGCCAGCATCCCGCAGGAGTGCACTGGTTCAAGTCCTGGCTGCTCCACTTCCAACCCAGCTCCCCAGTGCGCCTGGGAAAGCAGCAGAGGATGGCCCAAATGCTTGGGACCCAGACACCAGATGGAATTCTCCGGCTCCTCACTTTGGCCCGGCCCACTGCAGCTATTTGGGGAATGAGAGCTCTCACTTTGTAACTCTTTCAAATGAATAAATTTAAAAAAAAAAATCTTGTTTGGGGCTGGTGATGTGGCATCCTGAAGGTTTCCTCCCACACTGATCCTCCCACACGTCCCATTTCTGGGCAGCAGGGGAATCCAACTCTAGTCCTTTCCCCACCACAATCACGGCAACCAGATGAACTTGAGGAGTTTATTAGGGAAATATGAGAACAGACACCCCAAGTGACAGAAAGAAAACTCTGCAAATGTCCCTTCGAGACAAGCGGAGGTCTGGCCTTGACCTCCCCAAAACAAGAAGAAACTGGTGGGTCAGCAACAACACTTGCAGGGCAGGAGTCCCAGCCAGGACTGCCCCCACCTTCCGCCCACGGTGCGAGGGAGACACAGACTGTTGAGAGTCAGTTCGGAGGCCACGAGAGCTGTAGGTCAAGTCTGAGAGGAGGAGGGGAGAAGTGGGCAGGACCCGCACGGAGTCCCAGGCTTTGGGCTCTGAACTCTTCGGATACACTGACAGGTGGTTCCACACAACGTGACTGGAAGCGTGAATGCCTGGTGCTGCTTCCAGGAGTCCGCGGGACTCCTCCCACACGCCACATCACACTCCCAGAGGTACCGGCAGAGCCCACGGGCCACACTTGTGAAAACAGAAAAACGAGATCAAGCCCCGCTGCTCTTGAGGAGAGACGGAGGAGCTGGGGGCTGCTGGGCCGTCCCACGTGGCCTGCGCTCTGCGAAGCGACTTCCCAGCAGCAGACGGCAAGGCTCTAGGTCAGCGTCTCTCCTTTTGTCACCTGTCAAAGGAAAACTGACATTCAGAGAAATTCAAAACCACTAAGGGGTCTAAAAACAGTCTTACTTTAGGTGCTAGACAATGAGAAAAGAACACAGCGTTTAAGTCAGGGGTCCTGGTTCAAATGAAGGCAAGTAGTTAACTTCTCTGCCGGATTCTGCCTTCGCGTTTGTCTCAGCAGCGAGAGGAATGCGGCAGGCTCTGGGACACCCCTGCCCCCACTCACCCGGGCTTCGATGTACTCTATCCTCCGCTCAAGCGCAGTCAATTTCTCGTTTAGTGTGGCCAGTCGCGAACGACAAGACATATCTGGTAAACGGAGACACATGCTCAGGGTTAATGTCACTCCAAACACACAGCACACACGGACAAGAAACACCAATCATGTAGAGCACCTATGGGCACACGGGGCGCAGGTGCTCAGAGCGCCCCCGAACTTCCTTCACACGTGCAGGCCGCGACGAATGGCGCCACAAAGACGCCGAGCCCTCCTCCCCGGAAGCTGAGTAGGAAGCATGCGTGGCTAAGACTGCAGATGCCACTACAGCCAAGGACTCCATTTAATCAGACAGTCAGGAACGTGGATGAGAAACACAGAGGCAGCGGGCAGAGGTGAGATGCAGTGAGAGATTCGAAGTGTGAAAAGGACTCAACCGCGGTCGAGGAAGGCGGCTGTGACCACAAGACGCAGGGACCTCCAGGAGCTGCCAACAGCCCCCCGCCGGCTGACAGCCAGGAAAGACCCCCGGACACTGGATCCTAGTAACACCCACTGAGCATGGAAAGGTGGGCAGCCATGCCGAGACCTTGATTTTAGCCCAGGGACCGCTCACGGTTGGATCCCTGGCCTATGCAACGGTGAACAAACCAACCCGGTGATGTAAGTCAACAGATCTGCGATAATCTGTGATGGCAGCAACAGAAAACTAACACACCACCGCAGCGCAGGCCGTTATGTGCTCACACGCAGTGGCAAGGCTTAAGAGACAGGAAAGAAGGCCAGCGCCGCGGCTCAA